CCAAGAGAGAGGAGGACAGGAAGGCCCACTGCCTCTCTTCCCTTCTCGGCACAGTGAGAGGAAAGGAAAGCACGAAGCCTCTCCTCTCTTGGCACAGTGAGAGGAAGGCACGAGAGAGAGGAGGACAGGAAGGCACACGGTCTCTCCTCCCTTCTAGGCACAGTGATAGGAGAGGAAAGTGTGCAAGAGAGGAGGACAGGAAGGTGCATGGCCTTTTATCGCTTCTTGGCACAGTGAGAGGAGAGGAAGGCACATGACAGAGACGAGGAAGGCATGCCGCCTCTTATCCCTTCTTGGCATAGCGAGAAAAGAGGAAGATGTGCGAGAGGACATGGAGGCGCATGGCCTCTCCCTCCTTATTGACTCAGCAAGAGTAGAGGAAGGAGCACAAGACAGGAGGACAGGAAGGTGCGTGGTCTCTTTTACCTTCTTGACACAGCGATAGGAGAGGATGGCGCGCAAGAGAGAAGGAGAGGAAGGCACACGGCCTTTCCTCCCTTCTTGGCACAGCGAGAGGAGAGGAAGGTGTGCAAGAACGGAGGAGAGGAAGGCACATGGCCTCTTCTCTCTTGGCACAGCTAGAGGAGAGGAAGGTGTGCGAGAACGGAGGAGAGGAAGGCGCACGGTCTCTCTTCCCTTCTCAGCACAGCGAGAGGAGAGGAAGGTGCAAACCCTTGCCTTTCTTGGCACAGCAATAGAAAGGCACACGAGAGGAGGACAGGAAGGCACACAACCTCTCCTCCCTTCTTGGCACAGCGATAGGAGAGGAAAGTGCGCAAGAGAGGAGGACAGGAAGGTCCATTGCCTCTTCTCCCTTCTTGGCACAGCGAGTGGGAGGAAGGTGTGCAAGAATGGAGGAGAGGAAGGCACACGGCCTCTCCTCCCTTGGCTCAGCGAGAGGAGAGGAAGGTGTGTGAGAACGGTAGAAGAGGAAGACAAATGGCTTCTCTTCCCTTCTTGGCACAGTGAGAGGAGAGTAAAGTGTGCGAGAGAGGAGGAGAGGGGGGTGCACAGCCTCTCCTCCCTTCTTGGCACAGGGAGAGGAGAGGAAGGTGTGCGAGAGAGGAGGAGAGGAAAGCATACGGCCTCTCCTTCTTTGGCATAGCGAGAGGAGGGGAAGGCTCAAGAGAGGAGGATAAGAAGGCTCATGGCTTCTTCTCTTTTCTTGGCACTGTGAGAGCAGAGGAGAGGAAGGCACACAGCCTCTCCTCCCTTCTTGGCACAGTGAGAAGAGAGAAAGGTGCGTGAGAGCGGAGGAGAGGAAGTCACACGGCCTCTCCTCTCTTCTTGGCACTGCGAGAGAGGAGGAGAGGAAGGCACATGGCCTCTCCTCCCTTGGCACAGAGAGAGGAGAGGAAGGCATGCAAAAGATGAGGAGAGGAAGGTGCGTAACCTCTCCTCCTTTCTTGGCACAGCAAGAGGAGAGGAAGACACAGCCTCTCCTTCTCTCTCGGCGCAGCAACACAGCTTCTTTCAGCCCTTCTTTCAGCCCCATGCCAGGACCACCCTCACTTGAGTCTAAGCCTGCAAAAAAAGGGGGGGGGGCTTTTTCACCCTAAAAAGGGCAGCAAAACTAGGCTTGTACTCAAGTATATACAGTATATAAGGTCCTATTACATTTGCATTTTGTTTTCATTTATCGAAGATAAACTAAACAGAACCCTTTCTGTCTCAAAACATAGGTGCCCGAAATGGAAGAGAATGGAGAGGAGTCTTTGCAAGAGCTAAAGAGCAGCAACATCCTGGCTGCTTCGCAGGAATCGTCGCTCTCGGCAGAGGATCCAAGCCACAAAAGGAAGAAGAAGAAAAAGAAGGTGAAGGAGGAGCCGACCGAGAGTTTTCTAACAGAGGCTGACTCCATAACCCATCAGCCTCAACCCGAGATACCTTTGGACTCTCTAACCCAGCAGCCTGGGTTGGCATTGGACTTTGAGGCCTCTTTGGAAGGAAATGGTGAAGTTGGGGAAGAGAAGAAGAGGAAGAAAAAGAAGAAGAAAGAACATATGGAGGAGGCCGACTCTGTAACGCATCAGTCTCAACCCGAGGTGATTTTGGACTCCCTAACCCAGCATCCTGGGTTGGCGTTGGACTTTGAGGTCTCTTTGGAAGGAAACGGCGAAGTTGGGGAAGAGAAGAAGAAGAAGAAAAAGAAGAAGAAGGAACATATGGAGGAGGCCGACTCTGTAACGCATCAGTCTCAATCTGAGATGCCTTTGGACTCTCTAACCCAGCAGTCTGGGTTGGCGTTGGACTTTGAGGTCTCTTTGGAAGGAAACGGTGAAGTTGGGGAAGAGAAGAAGAAGAAGAAAAAGAAGGAAAAGGAACTTATGGAGGAGGCGCCAATGGACATAAAGGAAGAACCTGGCTTGGAAGAGTCGTTGGAAGACGTAGCGAAAGACTCTGGCCATAAGAAGAAGAAGAAAAAGAAGGAAAAGATGGAGGAAGAGACGCCTCCCGAGCTGGGAAATGGGACTGTTTTGGAGATGGCTTCCATCAAGGACGAGCCTAACGAGCCTGCAAACGAAGAACCGTCGGAACCAAACGTTCCCATCCACAAGAAGAAGAAAAAGAAGAAGGTGAAGGAGGAAGAAGAAGAAGGAGGGACGAAACAGACGGAAGGAACCGCGTTGATGGAAAGCAGCTCCTTAAAGGAGGAAGAGACGCAAAACTTGGAGCAAAACATGGAAACGCCGAGCCAAAATCACAAGAAGAAGAAGAAGAAGAAGGAATGCAAGAAGGAAGAGGACTAAAGCCACCACGTTTCCCAGAAATGACCTAGAGTTTGATTCCTTGGAAGAAGAGACACTCTACTTCTCTATTCATCCTTTACTGCAAAATTTACTTAGGAAAAGCCTCCAAAATGGCTGAAAAAACGTCGGCCTCGTCGTACACGGTGAACTATATATTATCCAACGGCAGTGAAGATCCCACCGCAAACAAACAGGTCCTATCACAAACTCTGGATTAAATATGGAACTTGGAATTCCAACGAGTTGAGACCTATGTGTTCTTGAAGGTTTTCATGGCCAGAATCACTGGGTTGTTGTGTGTTTTCTGGGCTTCCTGGCTATGTTCCGGAAGCATTCTCTCCTGACATTTCACCTACATCTATGGCAGGCATCCCCAGTATGTATAGTATATACAGTATGTACTGTATACACTATACAGTATACACTATATACATCGACGGTATACAGTATATAGAATATATACAATATAGTATATACAGTATATACTGTATACACTATATATGCTGTATACAGTATAGATAGTATATGTACTATATACTGTATACTCTCTATATATACACGGTATACAGTATATATATATTTATAGTGTATACAGTGTATACTGTATACACTAGATACATATGGTATACAATGTAGACAGTATATATATATATAAAATTTAATGTATATACTGTATAGTGTATACAGTATATACTGTATAGTGTGTACAGTATATACTGTATAGTGTGTACAGTATATACTGTATAGTGTATACAGTATATACTGTATAGTGTATACAGTATATACTGTATACACTAGATATATATGGTATACAATATAGACAGTATATATAATTATTTACTATATATACTGTATAGTGTAAACAGTATATACTGTATACACTAGATATATATGGTATACAATAAAGGCAGTATGTGTATATATATATATATACACACTATAGTGTATACAGTATATAGTGTATACACTAGATAAATATGGTATACAATGTAGACAGTATATATATATAATTTAATGTATATACTGTATAGTGTATACAGTATATATTTTATACACTAAATATATATGGTATACAATAAAGACAGTGTATATATATATATATTATTTACTGTATATACTGTTTAGTGTATACACTATATACTGTATACAGTATATACAATATATGCTCTCTCTCTCTCTATATATATATATATATATATATATACACACACTCAGTAATGTATAGAATTTCAATGATTCGGATGTGTGTGTATATATATATACACATACACTGAAATTCTATACATTACTGTTACATTATTCAAAGTATTAACCCCACAATTATCTTCGATCTTTTTGGTGCTTTAGAATACTAAATACATTGTTGATGTTATTTTTAGTCCACATAAAAGGTTTCCATTCTTCTTGCAGTTTCTGTGACTGGGTTTGTTGTAAAATTTAAAGTTAATTTCAATCTGGCTAAAATGTGGAACCTGGAATTCAAAAAGACCTATAGGAATCCCATAAACAACCCACATAGATCAAGTTTTCTATCCGCAACCTCTTTTGCAAAAGTTGGGAAAGGAGGAAGCCTCGCCCCTTGTTTATAAAATCACAACAACAAAAGACTCTTTTGACGTTCTTGCTGCAGTTTGGTATTTTATTTTCTTGGAGGAGACATGTTGTATTGGCCGCCGATACACAAATACGGTTTCTTTTTTCCCCCCCATAAATGTTCCAAGAGTTTGGATGCAAAATGTTTTACTCTTTGCTCTCCTGTTCGTGGGAGACTTCTGTTCTTTTGGGAAGCTTAAGGAACGGTTCGTGAAGGACATCGAAGAGCCTCTTGGCCTGCAAGGAAGGGCAGCAAAGGGGGGCACAAAGTAGAATGACTCTGCAAATGCACCTTACCACTACTACAACTCCCAAAATTCTGCTTTTTGGAGAAAGGGACCGAGAGAGAGACCATTAAGGGTCAAGCTTGCTAATTGCACCCTCTCTACTTGTTTAATAGACTATGGTTAGGGAAAAACATCAGGAGAAAATGCTGCATATACAGTATACACACACACAGGACAAAGAGCAGGGTCTCACTTTAAAGTTGGAGAGCAGGCTCAGTATACACTGAATACTGTATACAGTATATACAGTATATACTGTATATACTGTATACAGTATATACAGTATATAGAGTATATACGGTATACACTATATACACTATATACAAGGTATACAGTATATACAGTATATATTTTGTATACAGTATATACTGTATAGTATATAAGTATATATTGTATACAGTATATGCTGTATACACTACTGTATACGCTATATACACGGAATACAGTATATACAGTATACATATATTGTATACTGTATATACTATATACACTATACTGTATACACTATATATACAAGATACAGTATATACAGTATATATATTGTATACAGTATATGCTGAATAGTATATACAGTATATACTGTATCCACTGTACTGTATATACTATATATATATATATACAGTATATATGTGTGTATTGTATACAATATATACTGTATAGTAATACTGTATATACTATATACACTATACTGCATATTATATATATATATATACTGTATAATATATACTGTATAATATATACTGTATACACTATATATAAACGGTATACAATATATATATATTATACAGTATATACTGTATACACTATACTGTATACACTATATATATATATTGTTTACAGTATATACTGTATAGTATATACAATATATACAGTATACACTATATATACATGGTATACAGTACATATAGTATATATATATACTGTATACACTATATGCAGTATACAGTATATACTATATATACTATATAGTATATACTGTATATGGAATACAGTATGTGTGTGTATATATATATATATATATTGTATACAGTATATACTGTATAGTGTATGCCATATATACGGTACACACTATATCTGTAGTGCATACCATATGTATAGTATTCATTTTAGGCATTTCTCCGCTTACCTTTTGGGGCCCGATCCCTGGGCAGAGAGAGAGGTCCTCCTTCGAGGCTTGGACAACCTTGGCCAGAGACTGCAACGCAAAAAAGGCCAAGCCTTAGATTAGACAGGATCCCAAGAAAGGGAAGGCTCTAAATACCCCCCAAAAGGCACCAAATCCCAACTGATCTTGGTAGGGAAACGTGTCCTTTTGGGACTGTCACCAAGGTTAGGGTCTTTGGAAGGCCCTTTGCCCCTTGAACCCAGGACAAAGAGCAGAGTCTCACTTTAAAGTTGGAGAGCAGGCTCAGCGTGTCCGTCTTGTTCACGGACTTCACGCTGGTCAAGCAGTCGGTCATCTGGAAGGAGAGACACCAAAGGAATTGCAGGACATCTAACTTTTAAACAATGTTTTTTTGTGAAGGTGAAGACATGAAATTCCTTCCCAAATAATAATAAAGCAGTCCTGACCCTCGACAGGTAGTCCTTGTCCACTTTCTCCTTCAAGAGGTCGGGCGGCTTTTGTTCGTAGGCCTTGTAGGTTTCCAGGTAGTGTCCCGCTTCCTCGGGGCTAAAGGAGACAAGACACAGTTGTCGTTGTTGTTACTTATTATTTGTGTTATGTGTTTTCAAGTTGGTTCTGGCTTAAAGAGATCCTCTCTTAGGCAAGGAGAGGAGAGGAATACAAATTATTATTATTATTATTATTATTATTATTATTATTATTGTTATTTGAAACACAACAAGATGAGTCCACAGCAGACACTCTGCTGGCTGTTGAATTATTATTATTACTATTATTATTACTATTATTATTATTATTATTATTATTATTTGAAACACAACAAGATGAGTCCACAGCAGACACTCTGCTGGCTGTTGAATTATTATTATTATTATTATTATTATTATTATTACTATTATTACTATTATTATTAAACTTTATTTGTACCCCGCTAGCATCTCCCGAAGGATTCGATGCGGCTTACACAGGCCGAGGCCTCAACACACAACACAACAATACAATCTAAGTCAAACAATTAAAAACAGAATAAAGCAAAATAAACAACAGGCACAATACACTAAACACAATAAAACTGGGCCGAGCCAGAGCAATGGCTACAAGATTAAAAGTGCTGATGTGACAGGAGGTGTATAAAGGGCTTCCAGGGCAAGTGCGATGTGCAGCAATCATTGGTTCAGATAAAGTGCTTCTGGGACTTGGTGGTGGAGATTTCCTAATCTGGGAAGGCGCATCGGAAAAGCCAGGTCTTCAGGTTCTTTCTGAAGGCTGCCAATGAAGGGGCCTGTCTAAGGTCTTTGGGGAGGGTGTTCCAGAGTCGGGGGGGCCACCACGGAAAAGGCCCTGGTCCCGCGTCCCCACCAAGCGCGCTTGCGACGCCGGTGGGATCACGAGCAGGGCCTCTCCAGATGATCGAAGTGAACGTGTGGGTTCGTAGACGGAAATGCGGTCACGCAGGTAGGCTGGTCCCAAACCGTTCAGGGCTTTGTAGGTAAGCACCTGCACCTTAAATTGGGCTCGGAATATAAACGGCAGCCAGTGAAGCTCCTTGAACAGGAGGGTTGACCTCTCTCTGTAAGGGGCCCCCGTTAGCATCCTGGCTGCTGATCGTTGGACCAGTTGGAGCTTCCGAGCCGTCTTCAAGGGCAGCCCCACGTAGAGCGCATTGCAGTAGTCCAATCTGGAGGTGACCAAGGCATGGACCACCCCAGCCAGATCAGCCTTCGCAGTTGGCGCATGAGTCTCAATTGTGCGAAAGCCCTCCCAGACACCGCCAACACTTGAGCCTCAAGCATGAGCGATGAATCCAAGAGGACTCCCAAACTGCGGACCTGTGGCTTCAGGGGGAGTGTAACCCCGTCCAACACTGGTTGCCACCCTATACCCCAGTCAGGTTATTATTATTATTATTATTAGAAATTATTATTATTATTAGAAATTATTATTATTATTAGAAATTGTTATTAAATTATTATTATTATTATTAAATTATTATTATTATTATTATTATTATTATTATTATTATTATTATTATTATTATTATTATTATTATTAGAAACACAACAAGATGAATCCACAGCAGACACTGCTGGCTGTTGAATTATTATTATGATTATTATTATTATCATCATTTGAAACACAACAAGATGAGTCCACAGCAAACAAGGTCACTCTGCTGGCTGTTGAATTCAATTATTATTATTATTATTATTATTATTATTATTATTATTATTATTATTATTTGAAACACAACAAGATGAGTCAACAGCAAACAAGATCACTCTGCTGGCTGTTGTATTGGATCATATTATTATTATTATTATTATTATATTATTATTATTATTATTATTAGAAACACAACAAGATGAGTTGTAATACAACATTACACAGTCCTAGGCACTTGGGAAGTGTCCGACGTGTGATCCAATGCAACAGCCAGCAGAGTGACCTTGTTTGCTGTGCACTCATCTTGTTGTGTTTCAAATAATAATAATAATAATAATAATAATAATAATAATAATAATAATCAAGAACCAACATTGTCAAGAGTAGTAAACTGCTTCAAGTGCAAAAGACAAAAGTGAATACCGTAAAAACCCAATGCAGAGCAGAAGAGAAAACTGGCCAAAGAAGGCTCTCTCTCCATGGACAGTTCCTGGGAAACATTGAGAGCCAAAAGGACAAGGGAAAAACATGGCTGTGGCTCACAAATGGAACTTGGAGACAAAGGAGGGCCTGATTCTGGCAGCCCAAGAACAAGCCATTCGAACAAATGCCATTCCAAGCCAGAATTGAAAAAGTCAGCAACATATTCCCAAGCGTAGACTGCAAGGAAGCAGATGAAACCATAGATCCCATCCTCAGCTGTTGCGAGAATTTCACGGACAGACTCCAAGCAGAGGCACAACACTGCTGCTAAGATGATTCATTGGAAGGAAGGAGAGAAAGGAGGAGAGAAAGAAAAGGGGGGAAGTAAGGGAAGAGGAGGAAGGAAGGAGAGAAGGAAAGAAAAAAGAAGGAAGGAAGGAAGGAAAGAGGGAAGGAAGGAGAGAAAAAGGGAGGGAAAGAAAAAGGGGGAAGGAAGGAAGAGGAGGAAGGAAGGAAAGAAGTGAAGGAAGGAAAGATGGAAGGAAGGAAGGAGAGAAAGGAGGAGAGAAAGAAAAGGGGGAAGGAAGGGAAGAGGAAGAAGGAAGAAGGAAAGAAAAAGGAAGGAAAGAGGGAAGGAAGGAGAGAAAGAGGGAGGGAAAGAAAAGGGGGAAGGAAGGGAAGAGGAAGAGGAGGAAGGAAGGTGAGAAGGAAAGAAAAAAGTGAAGGAAGGAAAGATGGAAGGAGGGAGAGAAAAGGAAGAAGAAAAGGGAAGGAAGGGAAGAGGAAGAAGGAAAGAATAAAAGGGAAGGAAGGAAGGAAAGAGGGAAAGAAGGACGGAAGGAGAGAAAGAAAAAGAGGGAAGGAAGGGAAGGAAGGAAGAAGGAAGGAGAGAAGAAAAAGGGAAGGCAGGAAGGAAAGAGGGAAAGAAGGAAGGAAAGAAAGGAGGAGAGAAAGAAACGGGAAGGAAGGGGAAGAGGAAGAGGAGGAAGGAAGGAGAGAAGGAAAGAAAAAAGGGAAGGAAAGGGAAAGAAGGAAGGAAGGAGAGAAAGGAGGAGAGAAAGAAAAGGGGGGAAGGAAGGGAAGAGGAAGAAGGAAAGAAAAAAGGGAAGGAAGGAAGGAAAGAGGGAAGAAAGGAGAGAAAGAGGGAGGGAAAGAAAAGGGGGAAGGAAGGGAAGAGGAGGAAGGAGAGAAGGAAAGAAAAAAGGGAAGGAAGGAAAGGGAAAGAAGGACTGAAGGAGAGAAAGGAAGAGAGAAAGAAAAAGAGGGAAGGAAGGGAAGAGGAAGAAGGAAGGAGAGAAGAAAAAGGGAAGGAAGGAAAGGGAAAGAAGGACTGAAGGAGAGAAAGGAAGAGAGAAAGAAAAAGAGGGAAGGAAGGGAAGAGGAAGAAGGAAGGAGAGAAGAAAAAGGGAAGGAAGGAAGGAAAGAGGGAAAGAAGGAAGGAGAGAGAAAGAAAAAGGGAAAGGAGGGAAGAGAAGGAGGAAGGAAAGAAGGAAGAAGGAAGAAGAAAGGGGGGAAGGAAGGGAAGAGGAAGAGGAGGAAGGAAGGAGAGGAGGAAGAAAAAGGAAGGAAAGGGAAAGAAGGAAGGAAGAGAGAAAGGAGAGAAGAGAAAGAAAAGGGGGAAGGAAGGAAAAGAGAAGAAGGAAGGAAGAAGGAAAGAAAAAGGGAAGGAAGGAGGAGAAGGAAAGAAGGAAGGAAGGAAGAGAGGGAAAGGAAGGAGGGAAGGAAGAAAGAGGGAAAAAGAAGGAGGAGAGAAAGGGAAGAGAAAGAAAGGGGGGGAAAGAAAAAAAAAGAAAAGGGGGAAGGAAGAGGAAGAGGAGGAAGGAAGGAGAGAAGGAAAGAAAAGAGGGAAGGAAGGAGGAAAGAAAAGGGGGAAGGGAGGGAAGAGGAGGAAAGGAGAAGAAGAGAAAAAAGGGGAGGGAGGTGTTGCGTCTCAGATTAGCTTCACCTTGCTCTCTGACAAACCAGCCAAGCTTGAGAAGAAAATAGTTTATTGAGGTTTCAAACAAATCCAGGTAAAAGTAGTAAAAATTCTAAAGAACAAAATATAGGTTCAATAGGATTTCTTAAATCAAAGCAGGAACTTGAGGCAAAGGAGCAGGATACATTCCAGGCATTAGCATGAAGTTACAGGAAGCAGGCAATCCCCTCAGGCCCAAGCCCTGGGCCGTAGGTACAGTGATCCATTCTAGCAAAGTTGAACAGACACTGAACCAGCTTTCCAGCAGCATACTTATAGTTGAAACATCAAAACATGAAACTAAAACAATCCACTAACAAGCAATTTTCCCACCAGCCGATGGCCTCAAGATTTGGCCGCAATCCTCCCGCTTCTTCTTAACACCTGGAGCTTGCTGCTGCTCCGACCTTCACCGAGCGTCTTATCAGCCACATTCTTTGGCTGTGAGAACAAGCGTTTCTCTCTAGCTACAGACGGTGGCTGAGAAATCTGAAATCCCACACCTGCATCTGTATTCCCATTCCCATCATGCCCACTTGCACTCTCAGACCCATCATGCTGTTGCTGAACCACAACAGGAGGGAAGGAAGGAAGGAAGGAGAGAAAGAGGGAGGGAAAGAAAGGGGGAAAGGAAGGAAGAGAAGAGAAGGAAGAAGGGGAAGGGGAAGGGGAAGAGGAAGGGAGGAAGGAGGGGGGGGAGGGAGGGAAGGGAGGAAGGGAGGAAGGGAGGAAGGGGAAGGAAGGAAGGAAGGAAGGAAGAAAGGAAGGAGGAAAGGAAGGAAGGAAGGAAGGAAGGAAGGAAGGAGAAAGAGGGAGGGAAGGTTGGCCACAGCAATGCATAGCGGGTACAGCTAGTAACATAGGAATTGTGGGAGTTGAAGTCCAAAACACAGGTGAAGGAAGAGAGCAACCTGTCCCGCCCATCCACCTGAGTGTTTGGTGCTCACCTCCAGGCCAGGATCAAGGTGCAGCTGGCAAGGATGCAGATCTTGGCCAGATCCTTGAGAGCCTGGTGCGGATCTTTCTAAAGAAAGGAAACAGAGAGAGACATCGTTCCCAAAGGGAGGGGGAAAGCGCCCATGGAGGGAAGAAAGGAGCCAAAAAAGAGGACAAAAGAACCCCCAAAGATTCTGCTAAATAGTTGTTTTTTCCCCCTCATCTCACCACGTCAACTTGAAGCAGAAGCACCTGCAGCGCATACGTCTTTCCCAGGTTGCGGAGCCGTTCGTGGATGTAATTGGGGTTCAGGTGGTGGTAGCGCAGGCTGCGGCGGGAAGAGGAGAAAGGAGAAAGACGTGGTTGGCATTTCGACCGTGCTGAACAAGCCCTTTGCAAAGTGCAAATACTGGCGTGAATTCAGAAAAAGGGAGATATTCTCCTCTATGTCGTTATCAAACTAATGCTTCGCTCTGGGGGACTTTCAACTCTGATTCACTGTCACGAAGTCTCTTTTCAGATCCCAGGATCTATTGATCCTGCTGGATTCAAATACAATAATAATAATAATAATAATAGTAATAATACTTTATTTATACCCCGCCACCATCTCCCCAAGGGACTCGGAGAGGCTTACATGAGGCCAAGCCCAAAAACACATCAAAAACAACAAGCAACAATAGGCAACGAGCAATAAACAAAATAAACAATACAATCCATATAACTCACAAATAGACAATAACACACAAGAATTAAAAAACCTATGTAATAGTTAAAAAGATGCTGGACATGAACAGAGGATGTATCTATTATTTATGTATTTATTATTTATTTATTTACAACATTTATATGCCGCCCTTCTCACCCCGAAGGGAACTCAGAGCGGCTTACAAGGTATATATTACATACAATACACTATACTATTAGCATAGTACAAAATCAGCATTAAGCACTGCTATATTGTATCATACGGATTATATTGTAATATTATTAGTAATATTACATGTAATATAAATATATAATTACAATACCATATTATTAGAGTGTGTGTGTGTGTGTGTGTGTGTGTGTCTGTGTATACTAGCCATTCCCTGCCAGGCGTTGCTGTGGCCCAGTCTGGTGATCTGGAAAATAAAGTAATGAGAAAGTGTTGGTTTCTAATATATGTAATTCCTTTCTGCTTGTGAGTAAACAGTATTTCTTGCTGTTTCTTTGTCAGTGTTGATGTGGAGAGTGTCTGGTTTGCCTACCCTGGAATATGCAACATATCATTGTCCTTCTTGAAGGGTCTCTTTCAAATCTGTGATACTATATCTGTGTGTGTGTGAGAGAGAATCATATCTATCTATCTATATCTATGGCTGGATGGCTGTCAAGAGGGCTCTGATTAAATTTTCTTGCCCTGGTGAAGAGAGTTGGACTGGATGGCCTTAAGTATTTTCTGTTGGTCATGGGGGATCTGTGTGGGAAGTTTGCCCCATTTCTGTAGTTTGTGGGTTTCAGAATGCTCTTTGATTGTAGGTGAACTATAAATCCCAGCAACTACAACTCCCAAATGTCAAGGTCTATTTCCCTTAAACTCCATCTGTGTTCATATTTGGGCATATGGAATATTCGTGCCAAGTTTGGTCCAGATCCATCATTGTTTGAGTCCACAGTGCTCTCTGGATGTAGGTGAACTACAATCCCAAACTCAAGGTCAATGCCCACCAAACCCTTCCAGTGTGTTCTGTTGGTCATGGAAGTCCTGTATGCCATGTTTGGTTCAATTCCATCATTGGTGGAGTTCAGAATGCTCTTTGATTGTAGGTGAACTATAAATCCCAGCAACTACAACTCCCAAATGTCAAGGTCTATTTTCCCCAAACTCCACCTGTGTTCATATTTGGGTATATTGAATATTTGTGCCAAGTTTAGTCCAGATCCATCATTGTTTGAGTCCACAGTGCTCTCTGGATGGGTGAACTACAATCCCAAACTCAAGGTCAATGTCCACCAAACCTTTCCAGTTTTTTCTGTTAGTCATGGGAGCACTGTGAGCTAAGTTTGGCCCAATTCCATCACTGGTGGAGTTCAGAATGCTCTTTGATTGTAGGTGAACTATAAATCCCAGCAACGACAATTCCCAAATGACAAAATCATTTTTTTGCGTGGAGGACATAAACTGGACTGTTAGGTGTCTTGTGTCCAAATTTGGTGTCAATTCGAGTCTGAACCAATTCAACATAGTTTGAATTGATTCAGGCACAAAAGTGAAGTTTCCAAAGTAGAACTAATTCAAGGAAACAGGAAATAACACTTTCAAACCAGGAACAGGACATTTTTCAAATTTTGTGACATAGTGTGATGCTGTTAACGTCACAGCGCATCTCCCTCACCCTCACCTGAGGAAAAGGGCGCAGGTGGTTTGGCCCAGCAAATAATCCGGGACGATGTCTCCAAATTCCCAAGGCACGTTGCGGATGAACTTCAGGACGGGGTTGCCTCGCTGGATGAAGAAGAAGAAGGAAGAAGGAAAAAGGATGGCTGTCAATGCAGGTAAAAAACAAGGAAACAGAAGTGTTCAGCTGATTACACCTTCCTTTTTTGGTTCTTTGGGAAGAGAATTGGTTTAGTTCAAAGAAATGGCTTATTGCAATAGATTCATGTTACAGTTTAGGGTTAGAGTTAGTTTGCATAAAATATTTAATAATAATAATAATAATAATAATAATAATAATAATAGTAATAATAATAATAATCAAAGTATGGATTGTTGATGTCGCAATTCCAGATGACAGCAGGATTGAAGAGAAGCAACTGGAAAAGCTGACATGATATGAGGATTTAAAAATCGAACTGCAAAGACTCTGGCACAAGCCAGTCAAGGTGGTCCCAGTGGTGGACTCATCTAGTGGTGTTTCTAACAACAACAACAGCAACAACAACAACAATTGCAAAGTCGACGACAGATCCTGAGCGTAGACTCTGCAAGGAAGCAGATGAAACAAGAGGTCCCATCCTTAGCTGCTGCAAGAAGATTGTGGACAGACTCCAAGCAGAGGCACAACACCGTTGCTCAGGTGATTCATTGGAACTTCTGCCACAAAGGCCATCTGCCTGCGACAAAGAACTGGTGGGACCACAAGACTGAAGAAGTTACAGAAAATGAACACGTCAAACTCGTCTGGGACCTCCAAATTCAGACAGACAGAGTTTTGGAGCACAAGACTCCTGACCTCACAATCATGTTGAAAAACAAAGTATGGATCGTTGATGTTGCAATCCCAGGTGACAGCAGGATTGAAGAGAAACAACTGGAAAAGCTGACACAATATGAGGATTTAAAGATTGAACTGCAAAGACTCTGGCACAAACCAGTCAAGGTGGTCCCAGTGGTGATCGGCACACTGGGTGCGGCGCCTAAAGACCTTGGCCTGGACTTAAACACAAATGGCACTGACAAGATTACCATCTGCCAGCTGCAAAAGGCCACCTTACTGGGGTCTGCACGCATTATTCGCCGATACATCACACAGTCCTAGACACTTGGGAAGGGTCCGACGTGTGATCCAATACAACAGCCACAGAGTGTCTGCTGTGGACTCATCTTGTTGTGTTTCAAATAATAATAATAATAATAATAATAATAATAATACTTTTTTTACCTGGGAAGTATCCAAAATGAAAGCCAGCAAAGTGATCTTGTTTGCTGTGTACTCATCTTGTTTGTATCAAATAATATTTAATAATAATAATAATAATAATAATAATAATAATAATATTTAATAATAATAATAATAATAAACAACCCTTGGGTGTGCTCAAAGGCCAACACAATTGCATAAGGCCTGTCACCTGACGCGGGCTGACGATGATGCTGCTGTGCTTCGTCCCCGGTTTCAGCACCGGGTTCGAGGGTGTGGTTTCTTCTATTCCTTTGGCAATAATATTTCTCTTCTCGCAGGAAGGAGGCTTTGCAGAAGCGGTGGGTTTTGCTACTGGGATGCCGGAAGTCCCTTGCTTTGCTTGTGGGGCCGAAGAGGACCCCGCTTGTTGCCCCACAATGTAATCCGCATAGGATTTCCCAGCAGGTGCATCAGTGCTTTCAGAGGTTGCTACGTCTCTGGATACGGAAGACGGCTTGAAGAGCGGCTTCACCTGGAAACGGGAGAAAGTCAGAAGTTGGGTGAACTTTGACCCTCCAGGTGCTTTGGACTCCAACTCCCACAATTCCTAACAGCTGGTAGGCTGTTAGGAATTGTGGGAGTTGTAGTCCAAAACATCTGGAGGACCACAGCTGGCCCAGGCCTGTTTCATCCCAATCTCAAGCCTTGTCCTCTTACCTGCGCTGCTTCGTCGTCCTGCGTCTTCACTGTGAACTTCTTCCTCCCTTCCTTCGAGGGCTCCATCACTCCAATTCCTAGCAGGAAAGGGATCCACATGGCATAATTAATCCAGTTTGACACTGCTTTTTTAACCACCGTGGCTCAACAGTATAATAATACTTTATATTCCACTCTATCTCCCCAAAGGGACTCAGGACGGATTCCAGACATAAAAGGCAAGCATTCAATGCCCGAATACAACAACAATACATCCATTCAGTTCTTGCGGTTTTTTTCGGGCTATAGGGCCATGTTCTAGAGGCATTTCTCCTGACGTTTCGCCTGCATCTATGGCAAGCATCCTCAGAGGTGAGGTCTGTTGCAACTAGGAAAAGGGGTTTATATATCTGTGGAATGACCAGGGTGAGACAAAGGGCTTTTGTAAGTTGGGCTAGGTGTGGATCTTTTCTAGATGTCCTAGTCATCCGTAAACCAGATCAAGAATTGGGTCACACCGTTTACAGAAAACCCACACACACAGATAGATATCTACATAAAAACTCCAACCATCACCCAAGTCAAAAAAGAAGCACCATTAAAGCCTTGGCAGACCGTGCAAAAAGAATCTGCGAAGCCCACCTCCTCCAAGAGGAACTGAACCACCTCAACTGGGCTCTCCAGGCCAATGGAGACTCCACCTCAGACATCAGAAGAGCTGCAAGACCACCGAGAAGAAGCCACGAGAGTCAAGACGAAGATCCACCCAGAGGAAAAGTGTTCCTGCCAGACATCAAGGGAACCACTGACCGCAGAGGGAAGCTGATGAGGAAACACAACATACAAACTATCTACAGACCCACCAAGAAAATCCAACAAATGCTACGTTCAGCAAAGGACAAGAGGGATCCTCTCACCTCTGCAGGAGTCTACCATTGTGTACCATGCAGCTCTGGACAAGAAGTCTACATAGGGACCACCCAGCGCAGCAGCATTGCCCAGACACGCATCAAGGAACGTGAAAGGCACTGCAGACTACTCCACCCAGAGAAGTCAGCCAGAGCAGAGCACCTGAGGAACCAGCCTGGACACAGCATATTATTTGAGAACACAGAAATGCTGGACCACTCTCACAACCACCATGTCAGACTACACAGAGAAGCCATTGAAATCCACAAGCATGTGGACAATTTCAACAGAAAGGAGGAGACCATGAAAATGAACAAAATCTGGCTACCAGTATTAAAAAACTCTAAAATTACTACAGCAAAACAGCAGAGAGGAAACAACCAGGCACATCTTAACACCTCTCAACAGAACATTTTCCCAGGCTCAGCCAGGCCTTCAAATGCTAATGAAGGTGGTCAGCTGAAACATTCACACCTAGCTTCAGCAGAAAGCTCTTTGCCCCACCCCAGCCATTCCACAGATATATAACCCATTGTCCTATTTCCAACAGACCTCACTACCTCTGAGGATGCTTGCCATAGATGCAGGCGAAACGTCAGGAGAAATGCCTCTAGAACATGGCTCTATAGCCCGAAAAAACCTACAAGAACCTAGTGATTCCAGCCATGAAAGCCTTCGACAATACATTAAAATTTATACAACTCAACATATAAATATGAATTATAACTTAACAATCTAAAATTAAATAAAAAGCACAGCCTGTTATAACAGACATAAGACAAAAACAGCTCCAGCTCCCACTACTCAGGAGACACCATCAGCCCTCCCTCCCATGACATTGCAGGTTATAGTGAGCATCATGAATTTGTACAAGAGCTCTGCCAATGTCCTCCACAAACACCATACTGCCCACCACCCAAGTGAAGGCTTTCATACAGGGTCAATTTCATGCTAGAGTTTCCTCCACCACATGCATCCCAGTGTTTCTTACTCTCTCCATTGGTGTGGAATATAGATGTTAAACAACAGAGGGGAGAGAATGGCCCCCTGAGGAACCTTGCTCAGCTGGTCCGAGGTTTTGGGCTGGAGTGTGACCAGTATGTCGATGACACTCAGCTGGTGCTGAAGATGGAAGGCCGACCGGACTCTGTACCAGATTGTTTCCATCAGTGACTCAAGGCCGTGACTGGATGGCTGCGTGCCAGCAGGTTGAGGGTGAATCCAGCAAAGACGGAGGAGATCCTATGGCTGGGTCGACCGGGCAGTGGGGACGTCCAGCTGCCTACCTTGGATGGCGAGGCGCTACGCCCGTCCTCGTTGGTCAAGAGTCTGGGAGTCCTTTTGGACCCTCTGCTGAGGATGGAGGCCCAGGTCTCCGCCGTGAGCAGAACCGCCTTCTTCCACCTGCGGCAGGCTAGACGGCTGGCCCCCTCCCTGTCCAGGGACGACCTGGCTACGGTGATCCAGGCCACGGTCATCTCAAGACTGGACTACTGTAACGCCCTCTACATTGGCCTTCCTCTGTCGGTGATCCGGAAGCTCAAGTTGTTACAAAATGCAGCTGCTCGGCTTCTTGCGAGAATTCCGATGAGATGCCACATCACCCCAATCTTACTGCAGCTGCACTGGTTACCAATTGAGCACCGGATCACTTTCAAAGTGATGGTACTCACCTTGAAGGCCTTGCATGGTCTGGGGCCAATGTACCTGAGGGACCGCCTCACCCCCTACCAACCCCAGAGATCCCTCCGTTCTGAGGACCAAGATCTATTGGAAATTCCCAGTGTCAAGACCTTGTGCCTAACAGCAACCAGGCGCAGAGCCTTCACAGCAGTGGCACCCTCACTCTGGAACACTCTGCCACCTGAAGTCCGTGCCTTGCGGGACTTACCAGCTTTCCGCAGGGCATGTAAGACATACCTGTTTTGACAGGCCTTTGATCTTTGATATTGCTGTTTTTAAATTGTTTTAAATTGTGTTAGATTTTAGCCATTCTTGTAAGCCACTCCGAGCCCCAGGGGAGTGGAGGCATATAAGCCTGAATAATAAATAAATAAATAAATAAAATCGTACGTTATTATTATTACACTGTGAGATGCTTTGAGTCCCTTTTGAGAGGGAATATAAATATATAATACATATAAATACGTGTATACACACACATATTCTATATATATACATATATATATGCTTTGAATCCCTTTTGAGAGGAGATATAAGTATATAATACATATAAATACGTGTATATACACACATATATTCTATATATATATATATATCTGCTCGGAGTCCCTTTTGAGAGGAGATATAAGTATATAATACATATAAATACGTGTATATACACACATATATTATATATATATATATATCTGCTCGGAGTCCCTTTTGAGAGGAGATATAAGTATATAATACATATAAATACGTGTATATACACACATATATTATATATATATATATATATATATATATCTGCTTTGAGTCCCTTTTGAGAGGAGATATAAGTATATAATACATATAAATACGTGTATACACACACATATATTCTGTCTATCTATCTATCTATCTATCTATCCCTCTATATATTCTATATATGTATGTGTATATATATATATATATATATATATATATATATATATATCTGCTTTGAGTCTCTTTTGAGAGGAGATATAAGTATATAATACATATAAATACGTGTATATACACACATATATTCTATATATATATATATATCTGCTCGGAGTCCCTTTTGAGAGGAGATATAAGTATATAATACATATAAATACGTGTATACACACACATATATTCTGTCTGTCTGTCTATCTATCTATCTATCCCTCTATATATTCTATATATGTATGTGTATATATATATATATATATATATATATATATATATCTGCTTTGAGTCTCTTTTGAGAGGAGATATAAGTATATAATACATATAAATATGTGTATACACACACTCAATAATAATAATAGTAATAATAATAACATATATTCTCTCTATATATACATATATACATATAAATAACAAATATATATAATACTATATATAATACAATATACAATATACAAGAATATAATATATAGATAATATATATAACATCTATACATGCAATAGTATATATGTACTATAAATATACATATATATATGTTGTTTATATATACATACCATAAATAACAAATATAAACACTATATATCATACAATATACAAGAATATAATATATAGATAATATATATAACATATATACATGCAATAGTATATATGTACTATAAATATATTGTGTGTATGTTGTTTATATATACATACCATAAATAACAAATATATAATACAAGAATATAATATATAGATAATATATATAAGATATATACATGCAATAGTATTTATGTACTATAAATATATATATATATGTTGTTTATATATACATACCAAAAATAACAAATATATAATACTATATATAATACAATATAAAAGAATATAATATATAATATATAATATATACATGCAATAGTATTTATGTACTATAAATATACATATATATATATATATATGTTGTTTATATATACATCCCATAAATAACAAATATATAATACTATATATCATACAATATACAAGAATATAATATATAGATAATATATATAACATATACAATATATATATAACATAATATATAGATAATATATATACATATACAAGAGTATATATGTACTATTAATATACATATATATATGTTGTTTATATATATATATACCATAAATAACAAATATATAATACTATATATAATACATTATACAATATACACAAATATATTATATAGATAATATATATATAATACAATATACAAGAATATAATATATAGATTATATATATAACATATATACATGCAATAGTATATATGTACTATAAATATATTGTGTGTGTATATATATAGAGAGAGAGAGTGTAAGATACACATGTTTTCAAGATTGTCAATGGAAGGAGGCGGGAGGCTGAATCACCATAGCAACACAGCTCTTCCACCTGTCCATCAACTCAATTCTACACCCTGATTGGGCGACCAATCAGCCAATAGGGAGGACTCACTGGTTCTGGCGCATGCGCGTTAGCTTCTCCGTATAGAAGTTAGGCTTTTCCCTCTGACTAGGCCCTTTTGGTGTCCAGAAAGCATTATCTCGGAAATCTGCCTCTCGGGATGCCTTTAAGATCGCCAGAAACGCGGGGAAGAAGGTTTCAGACGACCCTTCATGGCGCCTGCGACGTTTGAATGCGAAAGAACCCGGATGTCTCTTTCGGAAGGCAAAGTGGACGCTCTGGGCATTCTCACTCTATCATCCTTGCGGAGTCTATGGCTGAAATCCGGCTAGAGTAGGCCTGTTCTTTCACTCTATAGTAAGAAGCGGCCGAGCCCTTCATCCCAGAGAGACACAAACCGGTTGGAAGTGCAATAAAACCATTTCTTATTTGAAACGCTTCCTTTTTAGCTTTCTAGGTAAAAATTTCTAATTAGAGAAAAGGCGACAGAGATCGACTTCCGGTTCCTGCTAGAGCGGCCCCACTGGGAAAGTGAAAGCCCCAAACCGGAAGTGGCTTCCCCCCCACATTTTTGGCATTATAACTATATAAAAATAACTCTTAAGAGTCAAGATAGGAAGGGGAAGGGTTCCCCAGTCTGCAAACCAAACTAAATGCTTCAAGGACTCAGAAGAGTTGGATGGGACCCCCAGAGGCCATCTAGGCCCACCTCCTCCTGCCTCCATTCCAGGAAAGCACAAAGAGGTCCTCCCAGGCTCTGTTTCACAGCCTCCAAAGAAGAAGAACCAAACCTTCCCTTGATCTGGACCCTTGGCTCCTGTGGATGAAGCCGAGAATCGCATTGGCTTTTTGAGCTGCTCCACCACACTCTTGGCTCATGCTCAACTTGTTCTTCACGAAGATCATTTTCACATGTTCATACTCTGTATACTCTTCCCCGATCTATTCAACTTGTATGCAGAACTCACCTTGTCTTACACACATAAATACAGATATTACTTACTTACTTAGGCGATCCCTCGCTTTCCAAGGATGATTGTCTTCCAATATTCTTGTGGGTCCGTATGTGGCTGTGGAGCCCTATTCTTGATCTGCATCTTCTCCCGCAGTGAGGGCATTGGTTTCCAGGTGGAAGGTGGTCCCAGTCGGAGTTGGCTTGACACGCCTTCCTCTTGGCACGTTTCTCTCTTTCGCCCTCTTTTCGTGCCTCTTCAAATTCTACAGCACTGCTGGTCACAGCTGACCTCCAGCTGGAGCGCTCAAGGGCCAGGGCTTCCCAGTTCTCGGTGTCTATGCCAGAGTTTTTAAGGGTTGGCTTTGAGCCCATCTTTCAATCTCTTTTCCTGCCCTCCAACATTCCATTTTCCGTTCTTGAGTTCGGAGTAGAGCAACTGCTTTGGGAGACGGTGGTCAGGCATCCGGACAACGTGGCCGGTCCAGCGGAGTTGCTGGCGGAGGACCATCGCTTCAATGCTGGTGGTCTTTGCTTCTTCCAGCACGCTGACATTTGTCCACTTGTCTTCCCAAGAGATTTGCAGGATTTTTTGGAGGCAGCGCTGATGGAATCGTTCCAGGAGTTGCATGTGACGTCTGTAGACAGTCCACGTTTCGCAGGCATATAGCAGGGTTGGGAGGACAATAGCTTTATAAACAAGCACCTTGGTATCCCTACGGATGTCCCGGTCCTCAAACACTCTCTGCTTCATTCGGAAAAATGCTGCACTCGCAGAGCTCAGGCAGTGTTGTATTTCGGTGTCGATGTTGACTTTGATGGAGAGGTGGCTGCCAAGGTAGCGGAAATGATCAACATTTTCTAATGTTACACCATTAAGCTGTATCTCTGGCATTGGAAAGGGGTTGGCTGGTGTCTGCTGGAACAGCACTTTGGTTTTCTCGATGTTCAATGACAGGCCGAGCTTCTCGTATGCTTCTGCAAAGGTGTTTAGAGTGGCTTGTAGATCTTCTTCTGAATGCGCACAGACGACATTGTCATCAGCATACTGGAGTTCTATAACAGATGTTGTTGTAACCTTGGTTTTGGCTTTCAGTCTGCTGAGGTTGAATAGCTTGCCATCTGTCCGATAGATGATTTCCACTCCGATGGGAAGCTTCCCATCAACAAGGTGAAGTATCATAGCGATGAAGATGGAGAATAGAGTTGGGGCAATAACACATCCCTGTTTGACACCCGATTCCACCTTAAATGGGTCACTTTGGGAGCCACTGCTGTCCAAAACTGTTGCCATCATGTCATCATGGAGGAGCTGCAGGATGTTCACAAATTTGTTTACATAAAACACACATATGTACACACACACATATATACATACACACACACATATATACACATACATACATATATACGTACACACACACACATATACACATATACACACACATATATACATATACACATACATGCACACATACATACATGTGTACACACATATACATACACATACACGCACACATATATACATATGCACAATATACATACACACATACACACATATACACTTACATATATATGCATAAATACATATATACACACATGCACACACATATGCACGTGCACACATACATACACACATATATACATATTCATGTGTACGCACATACACACTTATACATATACACATACATGCACACATATATACTTATACACAATATACATACACACACATATATGCACACATATATATACACCCATATATATATGCATAAATACATATATACACACATGCACACACATATGCACGTGCACATATATACATATACATGTGTACACACATATACATACACATACACGCACACATATATACATATGCACAATATACATACACACATACACACATATACACATATATATACACCCATATATATATGCATAAATACATATATACACACATGCACACACATATGCACGTGCACATATATACATATACATGTGTACGCACATACACACTTATACATATACACATACATGCACACATATATACATATACACAATATACATATACACATACACATATATGCACACACATGCATAAATACATGCGCACACACATATATACATACATGTGTACGCACATACACACTTATACATATACACATACATGCACATAGATATACATATACACAATATACATATACACATATACACACACATATATGCACACACATATACATATGCATATGTGTGTGCATGTGCACTCACATATGCACATGCACACATATATGCATATACATGTGTACGCACATACACACTTATACATATACACATACATGCACACATATATACATATACACAAGCACACACATATACACAATATACATATATACACACACATATGTATAGACACACATATGTACAGCCACATATTTCTACTCAAACCGGCCTCGGGTTATATTCGGGTCGACTTATACTCGAGTATATACGATAATTCAATTTTAAAAAGAATGTGTTGCCTGCATCCTGTGGTCCGAGGCTCGGTCATGCGTGACGTTCACTCCCATCAAGTTATAGCCCATGGAAAGACTTTATTGAATGCAAAACACGGAGGAAGAAGAAGACAACAGGATTGCCCAGCCCTTGATCCCACCGACAATGGAGACAACAAAAAATGCACAGTAAACAAACATGGAAGAAGAAGAAGAAGACCGGCCCCTTGGGATGCCAGGCATCTGGAGCCACTGAGCCCTTTGCGTTCCTCCCAACCAAGGGAGCATCTGCACTGTCCACTTAATGCAGTTTGACACCACTTTCGCTGTCCTGGCTGCGAGTTGTAGCTCGGCACTCTTTGGCAAAGGTGGCTCAAGACCTTGCGCAAACTACGACTCCCGGGAGTCAAGTGGTGTCAAACTGTATTAATTCTATAGTGCGGATACCTCTCCTAGAAGGCGAACCCCCCGAAGTCCAGCATGCTGTCGAAGTCCTGGTCCAACCCCTCGCAGTCCAGGGATTCGTAGTGTGCTTCAGCGGTAGCGTCGCACGCAGAAGGGTGGTAGCCCAGCTCCTTGAAGTCCGGCGGGTGGGACTCGGCCGGGTGGCCGGCGCCGGCCGAAGTGACCATATAGCCCATGGAGGGGCCGGCCGCAGCGCCCCCCACCAGGATGCAGGCCGCCCTGACCCCCGGGCGGGAGCAAGGCCCGTGGCGCAAGCAGTGTGGGGAGCAGCTCCCGTGGCAGGGAATGGACACCGGACCTGCGCAGAGAAAGCATAGGCGTGAATGGAGGGAGAAGGAGGAGATGAAGGAGGAGAGGAACAAGTGGAAGAAGTGATAGAAGTAGAAGAGGAAGAGGAGAAGAAAAAGAAGAGAAGGAGGAAGAAAGGAGCAATAAGAAGAAGAGAAAGAAAGAGGAGGAAGAAAAAGAAGAGGAGGAGGAGGAAGAAGTGATAGAACTGGAAGAGTAAGAGGAAGAAGAAGAGGAAGAAAAAAAGAAGAGGAAGAAGAAGTGATAAAGTAGAAGAAGAAGAAAAAGAAGAGAAGGAGGAAGAAAGGAGCAATAAGAAGAAGAGAAAGAAAGAGGAGGAAGAAAAAGAAGAGGAGGAGGAAGAAGTGATAGAACTGGAAGAGTAAGAGGAAGAAGAAGAGGAAGAAAAAAAGAAGAGGAAGAAGAAGTGATAAAGTAGAAGAAGAAGAAAAAGAAGAGAAGGAGGAAGAAAGGAGCAATAAGAAGAAGAGAAAGAAAGAGGAGGAAGAAAAAGAAGAGGAGGAGGAAGAAGTGATAGAACTGGAAGAGTAAGAGGAAGAAGAAGAGGAAGAAAAAAAGAAGAGGAAGAAGAAGTGATAAAGTAGAAGAAGAAGAAAAAGAAGAGAAGGAGGAAGAAAGGAGCAATAAGAAGAAGAGAAAGAAAGAGGAGGAAGAAAAAGAAGAGGAGGAGGAGGAAGAAGTGATAGAACTGGAAGAGTAAGAGGAAGAAGAAGAGGAAGAAAAAAAGAAGAGGAAGAAGAAGTGATAAAGTAGAAGAAGAAGAAAAAGAAGAGAAGGAGGAAGAAAGGAGCAATAAGAAGAAGAGAAAGAAAGAGGAGGAAGAAAAAGAAGAGGAGGAGGAAGAAGTGATAGAAGCAGAAGAGGAAGGAAGAAGAGGAAGAAAAAGAAAAGGAAAAAGTAAGAAAGGAGCAGTAAGAAGAAGAGAAAGAAAAAGGAGGAAGAAAAAGAGAAGAAGGAAAAAGTGATAGAAGTAGAAGAGTAAGAGGAAGAAGAAGAGGAGAAAGAAAAATAAGAGAAGGAGGAAGAGGAAAGGAAGAAAGCAATAAGAAGAAGAGAAAGGAAGAAGAGGAAGAAGTGATAGAAGTAGAAGAGGAAGAGGAAGAAGAAGAGGAGGAAGAAAAAGAGGAGGAGGAGGAGGAAAAAAGGAAGAAAGGAGCAATAAGAAGAAGAGAAAGAAAGAGGAGGAAGAAAAAGAAGAGGAAGAGGAGGAGGAAGTGATAGAAGTAGAAGAGGAAGAAAAAGAAGAGAAGGAGAAAGAAAGGAGCAATAAGAAGAAGAGAAAGAAAGGAGGAAGAAGAGGAAGTGGAGGAAGAAGTGATAGAAGTAGAAAAGGAAGAAGAGAAAAAAAGAAGAGAAGGAGGAAGAAAAAAGGAAGAAAGGAGCAATGAGAAGAAGAGAAAGAAAGAGGAGGAAGAAAAAGATAAGGAGGAAGAAGTGATAGAAGTAGAAGAGGAAGAAGAGGGAGAAAAAGAAGAGGAGGAGGAGGAAGAAAAAGAAGAGGAGGTAGAAGTGATAGAAGTCGAAGAGTAAGAGAAAGAAAAAGAAGAGGAAGAGAAAAAAGGATGAAAGGAGCAATAAGAAGAAGAGAAAGAAAGGTGGAAGAAAAAGAAGAGGAGCAGGAAGAAGAAGTGATAGAAGTCGAAGAGGAAAAGGAAGAAGAGGGAGAAAAAGAAGAGAAGGAGGAAGAGATAAAAGAAAGAAAGGAGCAATAAGAAGTGAAAGAAAGAGGAGAAAGAAAAAGAGAGGATAGAAGTGAATAATTTATATCAGATGAATATTAAGAATTTTGATGCAAAATAAGATACATGAGGATCTTAAAAATGAAGAAAATTATCAATAAATAAGTAAGAATGATTATAAAAGTGAGTATTATGAAGAATTGATATAATTAGAAGGATTAATAATATTAAACAAAGAATAGTAAGTCAAGATTAATAAGAAGAAATCATTAATATTAAAAAATAAGAAATTAGCGAATACTGAAGATCATTAAAAGTAAAGCGGATGAAGAAAAAGAATATTATCATTTTTTAATAATTTATATAATGTGAAGATGAAGAAAAATTAATAGAAATTCAGAGACTATATTTAACATTCAGTGATATGTAAAAGAAAAATTATGATAAAAATTCAGTAAAGTGAGATCATCTCACAGTAAACAGGAATAAATGAGTAATACAAAGTGTTGAAAAAAAAGAAAAAGTCATCATGTGTAAGAAAGAAGAAAAAGAGAGAAAGAAGCAAAGAAACAAAAAGAAAAAGAAGAAAAAAGAAAAAAAGAAGAGAAGGAGGAAGACAAAAAGGAAGAAAGGAGCAATAAGAAGAAGAAGAAAGAGGAGGAAGAAGAAGGAGTGATAGAAGTAGAAGAGGAAGAGGAGGAAGAAAAAGAAGAGAAGGAGGAAGACAAAAAGGAAGAAAGGAGCAATAAGCAACAGAGGTCACCATCACCCTCATCCTTAGTGGAAGACCCCATTCTTGCCCTTCTCTCCTCACCTTCTCTGCTGGGGGACCCTCCGTTGCTGCCTCCGCTCTCTCCCAGGCTCCCTCCTTTCCGACAACATTTCCTTCCTGGGGAGTCAATGTGGACTTTGCAACGAGAAGGAGAACCCAAAGAAAAACCCTGGGGAAAAAGAGAAGCAAAGGAAGGCGAGCATCAGCCTTTCCCTCCCGCCTTGCACCTGAGCATGTGCAGAGTGCACCTCCACCGCATTGGGGACCTCTGCCCAATTGATCCCAGATTTCTCCTGTTTTCTCAACTTTGGATCCTTACCTCTTTGACTTTTCTCAGGATGTTGAGCCACTGTCTGCAGAAAAAGAGAAAGAGAAATAGGCCCTTTAAATTAAATTAAATATAATTAAATTAAGTTTTTCCAAATAAGAGCAAAATTACATTCTCCCACCCACGCTGTATACTTTAAAGAAAGGATGGGTATTTCAATAATAATAATAATAATAATAATAATAATAATATATTGATAAATAATAAATATTATTAATAATAATAATTTATTATGGATGAATAATAAATATTATTATTAATAATAAATAATAAATATTATTATTAATAATTATTTATTACTGATAAATAATAAATATTATCATTAATACATAATAAATACTATTATTAATAAATAATAAATACTATTATTAATAATGATTATTTATTATTGGTAAATAATAAATATTATTATTATTATTATTATTAATGTATTCATATCTCTCTGTACGGCTCACAATCAAAAACATTACGACTTAAAATATACAACAATAAAACAATATATCATTACATATTATCAGTAGTAATATTTAATATATTAGTATTACTATATTGCAATATTAATAATGCAATATTACAATAATAATACAATATAATAATATATATTATTATATTGTATTATTATTACTATTGTATTGTATTAGATTATAATAATCATTGATAAACAAATATTATTAATAATCATTTATTATCTCTCTATACGGCTCACAATCAAAAACATTACAACTTAAAATATACAACAATAAAACAATATATCATTACATATTATCAGTAGTAATATTTAATATATTAGTATTACTATATTGCAATATTAATAATGCAATATTACAATAATAATAATACAATATAATAATATATATTATTATATTGTATTATTATTACTATTATATTGTATTAGATTATAATAATCATTGATAAACAAATATTATTAATAATCATTTATTATCTCTCTATACGGCTCACAATCAAAAACATTACAACTTAAAATATACAACAATAAAACAATATATCATTACATATTATCAGTAGTAATATTTAATATATTAGTATTACTATATTACAATATTAATAATACAATATTACAATAATAATATAATATCTATATATATAATATTATATAGTATTATATTGTATTATTATAAGTATTATATTATCTTACATTATAATGTTATATTTAATATATTAGTATTACTATATTACAATATTAATAATACAATATTACAATAATAATATAATTTAATATATTATTATATTGTATTGTTATTAGTATTGTATTACATTATAATGTTATATTTAATATATTACAGCAACGCGTGGCAGGGCACAGCTAGTAATATTATATATTATTATATTGTATTATTATAAGTATATTATCTTACATTATAATGTTATATTTAATATATTAGTATTACTATATTACAATATTAATAATACAATATTACAATAATAATATAATTTAATATATTATTATATTGTATTGTTATTAGTATTGTATTACATTATAATGTTATATTTAATATATTAGTATTACTATATTACAATATTAATAATACAATATTACAATAATAATATAATTTATATTGTATTATTATAAGTATATTATCTTACATTATAATGTTATATTTAATATATTAGTATTACTATATTACAATATTAATAATACAATATTACAATAATAATATAATATAATATATTATATATTATTATATAGTATTATATTGTATTATTATATTATTATATTATTTACATATTATCTTTATATTAATATATTATATTACTATATTATAATATTAATAATACAATATTACAATAATAATATATTAATATATTTATATTGTATTATTATTAATTATTTATTACATTATAATGTTATATTTAATATATTAGTATTACTATATTACAATATTAATAATACAATATTACAATAATAATATAATATATATTATATATTATTATATTGTATTATTATAAGTATATTATCTTACATTATAATGTTATATTTAATATATTAGTATTACTATATTACAATATTAATAATACAATATTACAATAATAATATAATATAATATTATATAATATTATATAGTATTATATTGTATTATATTATTAATGTTAATTATATATTATAATTACATATACAATATTAATAATACAATATAATAATATATATTATTAAAGTGTATTATTATTACTATTATATTGTATTAAATTATAATGTTATTATCAATATCATATGTATATACAACATATTATTAGGATAGCATCATATTATTATATATTGTTATATATTATCAGTAGTAATTGTATTTAGTATATTAGTATTTATTACAATATTATATATTATTATATTTATTATTAGTATTATATTGTATTAGATTATAATATTATTATCAATATTATATGTATATACAATATATTATTAGGATAGCACAATATTAGTATGATATATTACTATAGTGTACTATACAGTACAACTATACTGCAATATTATTAGTAATATTACAGGTAATTAATAATAATAATAATAATAATAATAATAATAATAATAATAATTTATTTATTCATATCCTGTTTTATTTATCTCTCCGTACGGCTCACAATCAAAAACATTACAACTTAAAATATACAACAATAAAACTATATCATTATATATCCTTATATATTATCAGTAGTAATTATATTGGTATTACTATATTACAATATTATATATTATTATATTTTATTAGTATATTGTATTACATTATAATATTATTATCAATATTATATGTATATACAATATATTATTAGGATAGCACAATATTAGTATTATATATTACTATATTGTACTATACAGTACAACTATACTGCAATATTATTAGTAGTATGATATGTAATATATAATATACAAGTATATTATTATATATTATCAGTAGTAATTATATTTAATATATTAGTAATGCTATATTACTATATTACATATCATTATATTGTTATTATTAGTATTATATTGTATTAAATTATAATATTATCAATATTATATGTATATACAATATATTATTAGGATAGCACAATATTAGTATGATATATTATTATATTATACTATAGCACTATATGATATTATTAGTAATATTACATGTAATATATAATATACAAGTATCATATTATTACATATTGTTATATATTATCAGTAGTAATTATATTTAATATAGTATTTATTACAATATTATATATTATTATATTTTATTAGTAGTATTATATTGTATTAGATTATAATATTATTATCAATATTACATGTATATACAATATATTATTGGGATAGCACAATATTAGCATGATATATTACTGTATTATACTATAGCACTATATGATATTATTAGTAATATTACATGTAATATATAATATACAAGTATTATGTTATTATATATTATTGTATTGTACTCTATTATTATACCACAATATGTATAATACATTACCATTATATTATACTATTAGTATGATATAATACAATGTACTATATCATAAGCTGTAGTATATATATAATATATAATATATTGTATTACATCATTAATCTTACATATTATCATCTGCTTTTATTTCTTGGTTGAGTCTCAAAGCATCTAACATTATATTATTATTTTAAATAATTATTAGTATTATATTACATTAAAATGTTATTATCAATATTATTGTTGTTGTTGTTCATTCGTTCAGTCGTCTCCGACTCTTCGTGACCTCATGGACCAGCCCACGCCAGAGCTCCCTGTCGGCCGTTACCACCCCCAGCTCCCTCAAGGTCAGTCCAGTCACTTCAAGGATGCCATCCATCCAGCTTGCCCTTGGTCGGCCCCTCTTCCTTTTGCCTTCCACTTTCCCCAGCATAATTGTCTTCTCTAGGCTTTGCTGTCTCCTCATGATGTGGCCAAAGTACTTCAACTTTGTCTCTAGTCTCCTTCCCTCCAGTGAGCTTTAGTCGGGCTTTCTTTCCTGGAGGATGGACTGGTTGGGTCTTCTCGCAGTCCAAGGCACTCTCAGCACTTTCCTGCAACACCACAGCTCAAAAGCATCTCTCTTCCTTCGCTCAGCCTTCCCTAAGGTCCAGCTCTCACATCCGTAGGTGACTACAGGGAAGACCATGGCTTTGACTAGGCGGATCTTTGTTGCCAGTCTGATGTCTCTACTCTTCACTATTTTATCGAGACTGGACATTGCTCTCCTCCCAAGAAGTAAGCGTCTTCTGATTTCCTGGCTACAGTCTGCATCTGCACTCATCTTTGCACCTAGAAATACAAAGTCTGTCACGGCCTCCACGGTTTCTCCCTCTATTTTCCAGTTGTCAATCATTCTTGTTGCCATAATCTTGTTTTTTTTTGACGTTTAGCTGCAACCCGGCTTTTGCGCTTTCTTCTTTCACCTTGATTAGAAGGCTCCTCAGCTCCTCCTCGGCCATCAGAGTGGTGTCATCTGCATATCTGAGGTTGTTAATGTTTCTTCCAGCAATTTTCCCCAGCTTTGCATTCATCCAGCCCCGCACATCCTCGCATGATGTGTTCTGCATACAAGTTAAAAAGGTTGGGTGAGAGGATGCAGCCTTGCCGTACGCCTTTCCCAATCTTGAACCAGTCTGTTGTTCCGTGGTCAGTTCTGCCTGTTGCTACTTGGTCCTTGTACAGATTCCTCAGGAGAGAGACAAGGTGGCTTGGGATGCCCATCCCACTAAGAACTTGCCACAATTTATTATGATCCACACAGTCAAAGGCTTTAGAATAGTCAATGAAGCAGAAGTAGCTGTTTTTCTGAAACTCCCTGCCTTTCTCCATTATCCAGCGGATATTGGCAATCTGGTCTCTCGTTCCTCTGCCTTTTCTAAACCCAGCTTGAACATCTGGCAACTCTCGCTCCATGTATTGCTGGAGTCTTCCTTGCAGGATCGTGAGCATTACCTTACTGGCATGAGAAATAAGGGCCACTGTACGGAAGTTTGAGCAGTCTTTCAATATTATATGTATATACAATACAAGTAGCATATTATTATATATTATTATATTATTA